AAAAAGAAAAAATATTAGGCATTATGTCCCACTCAACAAATGGAATGTATATACAAGTGTGGTTAACAAGCGATTGCCTCATTGTTATTTAAATCATTTCATAAAAATCTAATCTATGAACAAAAAGTTCCATATTCTCTACTATAGACTATAAGAATCAAGTATTACATCTAAATATAACTTCAAAACAATAAGTTAAAATTAGCTTCCAGACATCTCTGAAATGGTTAATTCTATTCAGGCTGGTAACAAGTTTTTCCAAGCATTAAACAGTAATATAAGTAAAATGCATAGTTCAAAAATGAGGATCATACTCCTTCTTCTTCATACATCATAAGATGATTGATATACTCAAAACCTGCCAATTCATATCCATCAAGCTCCCTCATGATGTCATTATCATCAGGGGTGAGCCGGACACGTTCGTTAGTAAATTCAGGATCAAAGTTGTCCAAACCAAATCCCTCAGAGATATTTGGTTTAAATGGAGGCACCACCTGCTTTTTCTCCATCATGCCCCAGTCCACATTTTGAAAGAATGGATGCTCCTGAACATCAGCAAAGCCCCTGTGAGGATGACAACCTAGTCGTTCTTTTGGATCCCTGTTCAGAAAACTCTCTAGGATACTTGCAGCTTGTACAGACAGAAAATGAGGTATGACAATGTCTCTTTCCAAAATTACTTGGAAGAGATTCTCAAGTGAGTCTTCATAAGGCCTATCAGAGCTCTCATCAAGATGGAATGGAGACTCTCCGATCATCATCACGTAAATCATTACTCCAAGAGCCCACCAGTCCACACCGAAACTGTAATCTTCATCTCTTAGAATTTCTAGAGCCATGAAATGAGGAGTGCCACAGAAAGTGCGGGTCATGTGTCCTGGCTGTAAGCCTTCCTTACTCAAGCAATAATCGGTGAGTTTAATGTGCCCTTCTGAGTCTAGTAATACATTTTCCATTTTTAAATTTCTGTGAATTATTCCTAGCTGGTGAAGATAGTTGACTGCTAAACTGATTTCTGCAGAGTAAAACTGGCATGTTCTTCAGGAAGCATGCTTTGTTGCTGCACGTGAAACAGTAGATCTCCCCCACTGACATAGTCTAGAACAAGGAACAGTGTGCTTTCTGTCTGGAAGCAAGCATG